TAAAATTTTGTCTGAATTATCAGTTTAGTGTGGACAAAGGAGACGAAGTTTATTTCATTGATGGTAGATTAAAATCAAAGTCTTTTCAAATGAAGATATATTGTAGTGAATGTCAAAACCAAGCAGGATGATAGATAAGCTATAGTTAGGGCCAGATAATACCTAGTATACTGAGGACTTACGACCACATACACGTACTGTAGCATGCTACATCGCATTAAACGCAGTGACTTAACTATCACCAAATAACAGCTAATGTGGTTTTAAGACGATCCTAATTTTCAAATGATTGTTTCTTTGGCGCATGACACACAAAAAACGGAAGCGACCTGGACCTCTAACGACTTGTGATTCCGTTGTAAGCGGGGGAGGGAATGTAACGGTGACCTCGGAGAGATGGGCCATTGCATCATTCCATAACCCTCCCTCCAAAATGTCCCCTTGTTTCCGTTTTTATTGCTCACTTGTTCCGGATTGTTCAGGATCAGAAATTAGTTTAAACCTCACCGGATTTCAAAGGGATTTTCAAAGTAGTTTAATTCCTGACGTGTACTATTTGTAATATTAGGCGTTGTGATAGTGGGTACATATTCTGTTCCTTATGGCTGTTTGTAGCCCTTACACGTAACAAAAGGACATCCTGTCCTGACGGTCTTCATTGCTACTGCTTAAGGGGGATTTTGTTTCCTTTGATTTGTCTTTGTTCTAAACCTTTAGGATAACTGTGTCTACTTTTCAATAAATGTAGTGTATAAATATCGTACCTAAATTAGAACGGTTGGAGTGATACTGATAAACAATCAAACAGAGAAATTTATTTCAGTAAACTACGGAATGAAATATGATGCTTTTACCTGGATTACGAATTGATACATATGCTTTTTACAGTCCAAACTGTTACAGTAAGTCTTTAAAACGTTTGTTTAGAGGTAGAAGAAACTTGTTGAAATATACTAAATGACCCCAATTTCGCACGTGCGCTTTGGCCAATTAGCACTTACAGCTTCCACGAAGAGGATTTCCGTTCATGTTGCTTCGGTTTGGACTGTAAATCGAACGTTGGGCAACCGCGTGTAATTGGGTCGGTGAACCCTACACGTGTCGGAAAAGTAATGCTGCGTGTATGTCCATCATACTACAGGGCTGTATACGTCAGCCGCCCTTATAAAGGAAGTTCGTGATTAATGGGATTCCAAATATAGACCCGAGGCGAGTACCAGTCTTAGTGCGGCAGGATTGAAAGAAAACATATACCTGTTTATTACAATTTTGCCAGTGAAGTATAGAGAAATATCTCATTGATAAAAGTGTTATATTTCACTCGTGAAAATCTCAATTCATTTTTTGTGTGTTTTTTTCGCCTGTGAAAAATAATACTTTTGCACACTTACACCAATGAAAAGAGAGAACACAAATCATCTTCTAAAATTGGCAAATCGTAAAGCCTGGTACAAAAAATACAAAACCAGAAAACTGAAGGGATCGTTTACTAGTAACTCGACCTTCAATTCCATGAAAATCAGCAAGAAATTCAACGAAGATCACCTTATCGGAGATCAAACCCAATCCTCAACTTAACTTCTTGAATGTAGAGCGAAAACGTTAGACATTTCAAAAGGATTCGTGTCAGTAACAGCGACAGCCGTAGAATTCCGCCATATTTTCAGTCGCGTAGTAACTTGTCACACGTTAAACGCTCTCTGAACGTTTTACAGAAAATTGTGTTTGTTAGTGACATGAATAAGTAACATATACTATGTGAAAATAGAAATCGATTTACATTGAAATTGATTTTTTGTTCACGTAATTTAATGTTTTTTTCTTTAAAACATGGACTACATTTTGTCGCGTGCCGCTTAGTTATAATCAGTGAGTAGTATCCGTGAAAAGCCTAGCCAGCTTCCTCATTCTATATCTGTTCTTAATATGCCAGTACTTCGGCTATTTCACTAGTGAAAGTGTAATAAACAGAATATCTAACAGTGACTTCAGTAATAACAAATAAATTTCACTCGTATGTCTAATATTTTTGTGTCTTTCACTCGTGCTGCGTTTCCAATCTTTGTACTAAAATGCTGTTCACTGAACTTTTAGCTACATCAATATAACGTCATCACTACACATACATTCAGTCTTTATGACGTCATTCGTTTACTTTTCAGTCTTTACAACCTCAGACATTAACTGTTCAGTCGTTACGACGTCATTTAAAAACGTTTCAGTCGTTACGACGTCACTCAATAACTGTTCAGTCGTCACGACGTCACGCAATAATTGTTTAGTCGTCACGACGTCACACAATAATTGTTCAGTCGTCACGACGTCACGCAGTAACTGTTTAGTCGTTACGACGTCACGCAATAACTGTTCAGTCGTCACGACGTCACGCAATAACTGTTCAGTCGTCACGACGTCACGCAATAACTGTTCAGTCGTCACGACGTCACACCGTAACTGTTCAGTCGTTACGACGTCACGCAATAACTGTTCAGTCGTCACGACGTCACGCAATAACTGTTCAGTCGTTACGGCCTCAGTCATTAACTGTTCAGTCGTCACGACGTCACGCAATAATTGTTCAGTCGTCACGACGTCACGCAATAACTGTTCAGTCGTCACGACGTCACGCAATAACTGTCCAGTCGTTACGACGTCACTCTATTAACTATTCGGATGTTACAACGTCACTCATTAATTGGTAATATCGTCATCGACATTACGACGTACATGAACCCGTCAAAATATCGCTTAATTTAAATGCAATAATGAAAATATGGGAAATACTGCAAGTGGGTGATAATGGACGAAAAAAATAATATACCATTGCTGATGTTGATAGAATGTGGTCCTTAAACGTAGTGATCAGAATTATAATGTGTGGTAAAAACGTAACAAAGCAATCCGAGGTGATAATCTTTTATAATGAAAATTTAGAAATAAATGGTCCAATCCACGAAGTCCGATCGTGCCTCAGGGTAGGACTTCTCCTATGAAAAAGGACACGTGCACGCCTTGTCACAACTAAGGCGACTATCGTTAGATATCTTCCGTAATATAATTCGATCCGACAAGCTACCATTTCCCCGTATTAGAGCCCAGTGACTGAACCCTGACGACCCGGGTCACGGTTAATACAAACACTACGTTCTGGTGTAGCGTGTTCGTACATCCCACGTGATGCTTATAACGATAATTTTGTGGCAATTTCCGAGAAAATACATTTGATAATTTTGTAAAACATAGACATTCCGAGCCCGTTTAGTTCTGGTACAAGTCATTTATACGCCATACAACATTCCGTGAATTACGTTCTACCGGAAGTTTTATGGAACGCATTCTTCAGTCTTACATGCTTCCACGCCGAATAAAGAACAGGAAAAGTACATTGGACGTTGTCCGTACTCTAGATGGTGTTATTCACATACTTAAAATAAACATCCAATTTGTTTACACAGTTCTCGACAATTTTTGTTTTAGAATACAAATTATGTTATAGATATTAAGTAGAAGCTTCTGTTGAGGATGTTTCGGTTTAATTTTCATTTTTGATGTTTTAGTGTAACTTTCGTTGTTGTTTTAGTGTAACTTTCGTTGTTAGTTTCTGCTTGGTTTGGCAAATGTCTAAGAAGTAGCATTTTTACTATGCCACTCTGTGTATACTTTGTAAATTTGATAATAACAAAACATAAAAATGCTGTTTAAATTACATACATTTGTATATATTTGGTGAAATGAAGTTTTGGATAAACACCTAAACTACAAAACATTAAAATGTTTAACATCTCATTTTAATTGTACAACTATTTATTGTATACCATGCTAACTCTGACTACGCCATGTTTTCATATGGACATCCTCACATGCCATGTATGTATGATCTGAGGTTCAATAAAAGAATTTGAATTTGAATTTGTTTATGAAGCATGATGGTTGTAAAAAGAAACAACATGTTAAGAAATCACGGGTATCAGACAGCGGTTGTAAAGCGACACACGAAAATATTTACAGTCGCTCGTCGCCGCCCAGTTACATTAGAACTAGAAAGTCAACGTAACGATTAGACTGGCCCGCTGTATTGTTACAATACAGTGTTTCTAGCAGTCAGGAATATAAAAACTGTATTTTGGAGGGCAAAGACAAGAGGCGTATCTCTGGCGAGTCATTTTTGTCTCTCTGTCCGGAGTCAAAATGCAGACATTACGATTTTAAGACATTGACCATGTATTGAATTTATCGCGCGCATTAAATAAGAATTGAGACTATCGAAAGTGTTTTGTTTAATTTTTTTACCTCTAGTTGTTACGCATGATGACAAGATATTGCTCAATAGGGATGTACAGTTATAAACATCAACGAATATAACAGCAATTTTGTGAATTTTTGAATAAAACTTCTTTATTACAATAAATAAAATCGATTATTTAAGCACGGTTGTTTACCTGTTTAAATGCAATATTTAAGTAAATCAGAAAGCAGTTATATAGAATTCATGCACTTGCTATAATACAGGTTTGTGAGCAACTCATTTTCTCTGGAATTAAGTGGCAAACCTTCTAGATGTCAATGAGATATAATGGACAGGGTTCTTACATTGGATGTTGTCACTATTGACCGTTAGATGTAACTGTAACAAAGTGTTGTTGATGAGCCCAGTGTTCTTACTCACATATCAAGCTTCCGTCAAAAAACAAACCGGGAAATAACTGAAATTGGATCTTGTTGTAGATTCTAAAAACAGCGCGAACCACTCCAACAGCAATAATGATAAATCGTGGAGCGCTTTTTAGCAATCAAGCGTTTTGTGTAGCGTTAGACCTGTAGGTCAGGCCCGCGCCGTGTGATTGACATGAGGGCCTACTACTGCAGTACGGGGGACCCCATTCACAAGCACGTGCCTGTTCTAATGTCATCCTTGTGTCCTAACATCTGTCTATATACACCATCAACAAAACATGTTATTCTTTTGTTGGTTTTTAATGTCATTGTTTTAATTTTTTCAGGTATTACATTCGTAAATCTTACGGCAGCAAACGGTGGATTGTATTCCTAGAAGGTATGTAGATAATATGTTTACTTATTGGCGACTTTACTCACCTCTAACTAATTATCTCTGTCAGCTCATTACCGACCCTAGACAAACGGCGACTTTACCGACTGAGCAATGCGATTTTCCTTTATTGTCAAAGATCTTCTAGTTTACCGTAATGCATATATTAACAAAGATCCAATTAAGGGATTACGTACATTAACAAAGATCCAATTAACAGATTACGTACACCAACAAAGATCCGGTTCACTGATTACGTACATTAACAAAGATCCAGTTCACTGTTTACGTACATTAACAAAGATCCAGTTCACTGATTACGTACATTAACAAAGATCCATTTCACTGATTACGTACATTAACAAAGATCCAGTTCACTGATTACGTACATTAACAAAGATCCAGTTCACTGATTACGTACATTAACAAAGATCCAGTTCACTGATTACGTACATTAACAAAGATCCATTTCACTGATTACGTACATTAACAAAGATCCAGTTCACTGATTACGTACATTAACAAAGATCCAGTTCACTGATTACGTACATTAACAAAGATCCATTTCACTGATTACGTACATTAACAAAGATCCAGTTCACTGATTACGTACATTAACAAAGATCCAGTTCACTGATTACGTACATTAACAAAGATCCATTTCACTGATTACGTACATTAACAAAGATCCAGTTCACTGATTACGTACATTAACAAAGATCCGGTTCACTGATTACGTACATTAACAAAGATCCATTTCACTGATTACGTACATTAACAAAGATCCAGTTCACTGATTACGTACATTAACAAAGATCCATTTCACTGATTACGTACATTAACAAAGATCCAGTTCACTGATTACGTACATTAACAAAGATCCGGTTCACTGATTACGTACATCAACACTGACGTACATCAACAAAGATCCAGTTCACTGTTTACGTACATTAACAAAGATCCAGTTCACTGATTACGTACATTAACAAAGATCCAGTTCACTGATTACGTACATTAACAAAGATCCAGTTCACTGATTACGTACATTAATAAAGATCTAGTTCACTGATTACGTACATTAACAAAGATCTAGTTCACTGATTACGTACATTAACAAAGATCCAGTTCACTGATTACGTACATTAACAAAGATCCAATTAACAGATTACGTACACCAACAAAGATCCGGTTCACTGATTACGTACATTAACAAAGATCCAGTTCACTGATTACGTACATGAACAAAGATCCATTTCACTGATTACGTACATTAACAAAGATCCAATTAACAGATTACGTACACCAACAAAGATCCGGTTCACTGATTACGTACATTAACAAAGATCCAGTTCACTGATTACGTACATTAACAAAGATCCATTTGACAGATTATGTACATTATCAAAGATCTAACCAACACATTACACACCATAACAAAGTTCCAATCAATTTATCACGAACGTAAACAAAGATCTAATTACGTTTTAACACATTGACAAAAATCTAGTTTTCTTATTATCTACATGAACAAAAATCTAGTAAACTTATTACAAATATTAACAAATATGTAATCAACGTATCACACACATCACTAAAGATCTAATGAACACAATGCGCACATGACAAAATTACGCACAGTCAGCTATTTCTAAGTATATACATTAACAAAGTTCCGCCAAAATTATTGACTAAGCGGAATGTATATAAGTCAACCATTTTTGTTTGATTTAGTAATTCAGTAGGTGTCAAGTGATTACGTACATTGACAGCGGTTTTCAATTTACATTTGATTACGTTCACTTACATCTAGGAAGGTTTTCAATTTACATTTGATTACATTCACTTACATCTCGGAAGGTTTTTATATTTACAGGTGATTACGTTCACTTACATCTAGGAAGGTTTTCATATTTACGAATTACGTTCACTTACATCTAGGAAGGTTTTTATATTTACAGGTGATTACGTTCACTTACATCTAGGAAGGTTTTTATATTTACGAATTACGTTCACTTACATCTAGGAAGGTTTTTATATTTACGAATTACGTTCACTTACATCTAGGAAGGTTTTTATATTTACGAATTACGTTCACTTACATCTAGGAAGGTTTTTATATTTACAGGTGATTACGTTCACTTACATCTAGGAAGGTTTTTATATTTACGAATTACGTTCACTTACATCTCGGAAGGTTTTTATATTTACAGGTGATTACGTTCACTTACATCTAGGAAGGTTTTTATATTTACGAATTACGTTCACTTACATCTAGGAAGGTTTTTATATTTACAGGTGATTACGTTCACTTACATCTAGGAAGGTTTTCATATTTACGAATTACGTTCACTTACATCTCGGAAGGTTTTTATATTTACAGGTGATTACGTTCACTTACATCTAGGAAGGTTTTCATATTTACAGGTGATTACGTTCACTTACATCTAGGAAGGTTTTCATATTTACAGGTGATTACGTTCACTTACATCTAGGAAGGTTTTTATATTTACGAATTACGTTCACTTACATCTCGGAAGGTTTTTTATATTTACAGGTGATTACGTTCACTTACATCTAGGAAGGTTTTCCTATTTACAGGTGATTACGTTCACTTACATCTAGGAAGGTTTTCATATTTACGAATTACGTTCACTTACATCTAGGAAGGTTTTTATATTTACAGGTGATTACGTTCACTTACATCTCGGAAGGTTTTTTATATTTACAGGTGATTACGTTCACTTACATCTCGGAAGGTTTTTATAATTACAGGTGATTACGTTCACTTACATCTAGGAAGGTTTTTATATTTACGAATTACGTTCACTTACATCTAGGAAGGTTTTCATATTTACAGGTGATTACGTTCACTTACATCTAGGAAGGTTTTTATATTTACGAATTACGTTCACTTACATCTAGGAAGGTTTTTATAATTACAGGTGATTACGTTCACTTACACCTAGGAAGGTTTTTATATTTACAGGTGATTACGTTCACTTACATCTAGGAAGGTTTTCATATTTACGAATTACGTTCACTTACATCTAGGAAGGTTTTCAATTTACATTTGATTACATTCACTTACTACTCGGAAGGTTTTTATATTTACAGGTGATTACGTTCACTTACATCTAGGAAGGTTTTCATATTTACGAATTACGTTCACTTACATCTAGGAAGGTTTTTATATTTACAGGTGATTACGTTCACTTACATCTAGGAAGGTTTTCATATTTACGAATTACGTTCACTTACATCTAGGAAGGTTTTCATATTTACGAATTACGTTCACTTACATCTAGGAAGGTTTTTATATTTACAGGTGATTACGTTCACTTACATCTAGGAAGGTTTTTATATTTACAGGTGATTACGTTCACTTACATCTCGGAAGGTTTTTATATTTACAGGTGATTACGTTCACTTACATCTCGGAAGGTTTTTATATTTACAGGTGATTACGTTCACTTACATCTCGGAAGGTTTTCCTATTTACGAATTACATACAATGACAGCGGTTTCCCAGTCTCGTCGTTACGTATGTTTACTATGTAGACAAAAACAAACGTTGTCGTGCCCAAGGCGAAGCTTTCATCTGTAAAATGCAAATTTACAGAAGGAAAAAGATCATAGACATTTTCTTTAGATAAAAAATGCAGACGGAATCAGAAATTAATAGCGACGTTGAAGATTTAAAAAGTTCGGTACGTGTGTCTGAGACGATAAAACATATCTTTGATAAATCAGATGTTAGTGTATTTTATTATGTCGGTCTGCTAATAAATCATTTCGGGATACCTTGTGTATGTACTACTGTATAAATCATTTCGGGATACCTTGTGTATGTACTACTGTATATGTACTACTGTATAAATCATTTCGGGATACCTTGTGTATGTACTACTGTATAAATCATTTCGGGATACCTTGTGTATGTACTACTGTATAAATCATTTCGGGATACCTTGTGTATGTACTACTGTATAAATCATTTCGGGATACCTTGTGTATGTACTACTGTATAAATCATTTCGGGATACCTTGTGTATGTACTACTGTATAAATCATTTCGGGATACCTTGTGTATGTTATACTGTATAAATCATTTCGGGATACCTTGTGTATGTACTACTGTATAAATCATTTCGGGATACCTTGTGTATGTACTACTGTATAAATCATTTCGGGATACCTTGTGTATGTACTACTGTATAAATCATTTCGGGATACCTTGTGTATGTACTACTGTATAAATCATTTCGGGATACCTTGTGTATGTACTACTGTATAAATCATTTCGGGATACCTTGTGTATGTACTACTGTATAAATCATTTCGGGATACCTTGTGTATGTACTACTGTATAAATCATTTCGGGATACCTTGTGTATGTACTACTGTATAAATCATTTCGGGATACCTTGTGTATGTACTACTGTATAAATCATTTCGGGATACCTTGTGTATGTACTACTGTATAAATCATTTCGGGATACCTTGTGTATGTACTACTGTATAAATCATTTCGGGATACCTTGTGTATGTACTACTGTATAAATCATTTCGGGATACCTTGTGTATGTTATACTGTATAAATCATTTCGGGATACCTTGTGTATGTACTACTGTATAAATCATTTCGGGATACCTTGTGTATGTACTACTGTATAAATCATTTCGGGATACCTTGTGTATGTAATACTGTATAAATCATTTCGGGATACCTTGTGTATGTACTACTGTATAAATCATTTCGGGATACCTTGTGTATGTACTACTGTATAAATCATTTCGGGATACCTTGTGTATGTACTACTGTATAAATCATTTCGGGATACCTTGTGTATGTACTACTGTATAAATCATTTCGGGATACCTTGTTTATGTACTACTGTATAAATCATGTTAGAAGTAATCATACATGCTATCAACTGACGTCATGAGATATATTTAGCCTACATTTACATTTGTCTGCTGGCAGTGTAATGATAAGACTTGTGACGTCATAATGCTTGGATGTCTGAGCCCTTTATTAGAATTATTTCATCGTTTAAGATGAGAGCTTTTCCCTCTATATGACCGGATACCTAATTAATGTCGAAATACATAATTGATATCAAAATGTGTAATTATAAAGTATTTTTTTCTGAAAATAATTCTAATCGACATCATTTCTCGCTAATCTACAAAGAGGTTATGTATATTGAATATAATTACATTTAGAAAAAAAAACTAATACATGTATATGAATGTTGTGCAAAACACACTACCTCATATTTGTACCGACGAACTACTTTAGCACGGTAGAAATGACATCATCAGACGTACGTCATCTTGAGCATATGACGTCATCAACCGTCGTATATCATTTGTTTTAACAATGGCGTGAGCAGATTAAGAATGTATTATGTTGCTTCAATTACATAAAAAAAAGCCAGGCGTTGTATATCGTGTGTGTTTCTTAGGGTTTAAGACATTCTTTATGTTGCATGGTTTTACAAATCTAGAACTGGTGAATGATATCATCATCTCCTGTTTGTTTTATGTTATACTTAAAAAGAAGTATCTTAAGAAGAAAAAAATTGCCTTTCACCTAGCTAATCTAGCTAACCTAACAAAGTAAAACCCCTCACGCTCATACAATAATGATTTTGTATTAGTCGAAATAACACATTTCACAAGTATTTTTTTATAACAGAATAACGACGTCATCTGCCCCTCAAAAAATCTAGTACATAATCAAAAACTTCAACAAAATGATTGATTAAGTATTCCACTTTTGACTCGCAAGTACAATTATAGAAATTGTACAATTGTATGCCCTGTTTCTCAAACCTTGCCTTCATATATTCTTAAATATCTTACTATATGTCATATAACGCTGGTCTAGAATAGATATTTATCCTCACAAACTCTACTGGAACATTGGGAATACTTGACTTTTTGTACACCAAATTGTTAAGCTCTATCTGTATGCTGATTTTATTTAACTTCTACACATAGTACACATACGACATACGAACTCATCTAACATGTCTTACTTTTCCTTAAAGGAGGATGGTACTGTTTTGACAGACCGAGTTGTCAGCTAAGATGGGAAAGTAAGCATATGAGATCACTGATGAGTTCTGTGGACTGGCCAGAAATCAGGGCAGGTGAGTAGTGTTAGATCACCTCTAAATACTTACCACATTTTCTGTATATTTCACACCTCTATGTCTCAGTTCAGTGACTTTGGATAACTCTTATTTCGAAAAAATGCTTTAGGACCGAAGATTAAACAGATTCTCAAAATGACAAATCTTGGTTACGATGATGGTACGAAGTTTCACGTCATCTCACAACACAATGATTACTATAGTAATGATATATGTTTACCATAATTAATATATATAACTTAAATTCCTCAGTTTACCTAACGTCAAATCCTCATTATGTCTGGGGAATCACGTGGTCCTTGGGGAAGAGAAAGAAACAATGCTAGAAGGATTAAACAAGTATATAGAAGGGAACCCGTTCTTCAGAGGAATATGTGAAACGGAGCTTTGGGTTCGGTGTGAAAATTTCCTCTTTAACTGTAGTCACTGCTACACAACTTCGTGATAACTGACATTTATTTCCCCTTTTTCGCGTGCTACCCACCTGCCCGCGACCACCGGGGGTGTAATAGATGTGGTTACGGCCGAGTTCCGCATTTCTCCGCATATAAATAAAATCGAGTGGAAAGAGAAAAAATACACACGGAGCACATGGTGATTATCAGTAGATAATCCTTATTAGAGACGAATCCATGGTCACGCAGTACCACAAGGTATGACGATAAACTATTCTAGCCGCCCCATGTGGCCAAGTTAACTGTACAGAACTCTTGATTCGTCTCATTTATAAGCGGTCAGCGTGACTCCTTTATTCTAGCTCTATATTGAATCTTGACCATCGCAGCGATCGATCGTCGGAAAATTGTGGTTAACTTCGTGTTAAGACTATTATTTCATATTAACGCACAAGTGTTACTGACGTGTATAATTAGAGGTTTGGCCCCGGCGATATTACGGGAAACGATCACTAATTGAGTGCTAATTATTGGCGGAAACCTCCCTCTAACAACTGTATAAGTCATTAGGCATAATCTCCAACCCCGAGGTTTTGTTCGAAGACAAAACAGTCGTCACAAACATTCAACATAGATTATACCATCTTCTTATCATCGAAGAATGGAGAGGAATTCCGAAAATTCTGAACATCAAAGGCTCGTAGCGAGGAAAGGTATTCTTTTGAGAAAAAGGGTCGTAGAAGTGATTTGATAATGAGACTACCCTCCTCGTATTCTGTAAACAAACAGTTGTCGGTACATGTAAATGTTTTTGTCGAACATTAGATAAGTTAAAACACCGGGAGTTTTTGCGTGATGCGATTGTTATACACAGAGAACATAGGGCGATCAATCTAGCCTGTGTTTGTTGTGTGTGATTGTAATGTTAACCTGTAACAAGTACTACACTGGCAAACTCGTTCAAAACCTACAACTTCTTATCAACCCAGAGCAGCACCGTACATTGTATGGGTCCCTTCTGTACCGCAAAGTACCCAGTGTGGGCAGACAAACATGATTTACACGGCTACGCCGGACAGTCAGAGATTCTGTTTGTCAGCTACCAGTTGTGTAGTACAGGTATCATGAATGATGTCGTATGGTCGAAACCTTTGGTAATTTGAACGATGAAAGGACGACATGAAACGTTTTCAGCTTCAGACCAAATCCAAATAATATCAAGCCCCCAAAGTGAGAATCGTTACAGTAACAACGAAACTACCAGGTATACTTAAAAAAAACATAGAACAGATAAAACTATGAAACTACAAAGTATGGCTGATATCACACAGGTAAACTACTGGTTACACTACAAATTATGGTTTATATCACACAGGTACACTACAAATTATGGTTGATATCACACAGGTAAACTACTGGGTACACTACAAAGTATGGTTGATATCACACAGGTACACTACAAGGTATGGTTGATATCACACAGGTACACTACAAGGTATGGTTGATATCACACAGGTACACTACAAATTATGGTTGATATCACACAGGTAAACTACTGGGTACACTACAAAGTATGGTTGATATCGTACAGGTACACTACAAGGTATGGTTGATATCACACAGGTAAACTACTGGGTACACTACAAAGTATGGTTGATATCACACAGGTGCTCTACAAAGTATGGTTGATATCACACAGGTAAACTACTGGGTAAACTACAAAGTATGGTTGATATCACACAGGTACACTACAAAGTATGGTTGATATCACACAGGTAAACTACTGGGTACACTACAAAGTATGGTTGATATCACACAGGTAAACTACTGGGTACACTACAAAGTATGGTTGATATCACACAGGTGCACTACAAAGTATGGTTGATATCACACAGGTAAACCACTAGGTACACTACAAAGTATGGTTGATATCACACAGGTAAACCACTAGGTACACTACAAAGTATGGTTGATATCACACAGGTACACTACAAAGTATGGTTGATATCACACAGGTAAACCACTAGGTACACTACAAAGTATGGTTGATATCACACAGGTAAACTTCTGGGTACACTACAAAGTATGGTTGATATCACACAGGTAAACCACTAGGTACACTACAAAGTATGGTTGATATCACACAGGTAAACCACTAGGTACACTACAAAGTATGGTTGATATCACACAGGTAAACCACTAGGTACACTACAAAGTATGGTTGATATCACACAGGTAAACTTCTGGGTACACTACAAAGTATGGTTGATATCACACAGGTACACTACAAAGTATGGTTGATATCACACAGGTACACTACAAAGTATGGTTGATATCACACAGGTGTGTCGTTGACTTGATGTGATATTAACCGTAAATGATTTATAAAGGGATGTGTTAAACTGTTCGAGTTTGTCTAAGGATATTATATTATAGAACGTCGTGATATTAACTGTACGTTATTATAAACGAATGTCATATTAGTCATACCAAATTGAATATGTAGAATTGTTTTGCGGAATTATCGAAAAAAGTGTTCACTTTCTTTGTCAATCTAACGTTGCCTTCGGTTTCACTTTTCTCGCAATAGCTCCGTAGCTCGAAACATTTATAAATACATGGTTCTAATCTAATGCATTGTCCTGTACTATCGTATATTGACCAGCTCCAGTACTAATTAGGCGTTCGTCTGAGTAAACACTCACTGTGTTAGAAGATTTTTTTATCGAATAGATTGAAACTGCCGAGAACTAACAGAACTAACATAACCAACTACTGGGTTTTCACAGGTGTTTAATTCTGTTTGTGAATAAGATATCGAAAGATGAGACATTTTGCATTCGATCATATAACTGGTAACGAGATTAGATGTTATCGTGGCGTGTAGATCTATGGGTATCTGTGGATAACAGGACTTACTAAAGTCCACGCGTGCTGTGTGGCCATCGCTTCTGCTCGGGCCGCCCAGAAAGACATGCATGTGCCCTCTACACAACTCACACTAATTAAAATGTTTCTTTATTTGAAACTTTAATTTGCTTACAAACACGTTTTCTGCTGTGTAGAATACCAGCCGCTTGTACAAGGTGATGCACGTTTCACAGTCTGCGTGGTGCGACCGAGGGGGCGTTATATAATACAGTAAACATCCCCTCCCCAGCCCGACCTCAGTTCTTAACAACGCACCTCAGAGTTTTTGAGCTTATCTGATCATATTACGATTGTTCCTGGTATATATAAGACTATACTCTGATGTGATATAATACCACGCCGCATGCAATCACGAATATTCAAGTGAAAATAATTCAAGATTCAAATTTCTTTCTGTTTTACGACGAAAAGACTTGTTGTTTGGGCACGATGATCCTGAATTGATGTCTTACCTAATTGTTAACAGATGATTAATGTTAATTCGATATAGTTCCATCTGTAATTGATTCTATTCCAGGTACTGGCATCCTTTCCTGGGACCCGAAAGAAAATCCTTACTACTTTAACGCCAATATTGTGTGAGTAACCATCAAATTATTCCAATATTTCTTCCAAATTATATCTGAACATTTTCTCCAAATTGTGTCCTCATACTTCCTCTTTATTGTGTTCCCAAACTTCCTCAAAATTGTTCTCCATTGTTCCTCAAAATTGTGTCTCAACACTTACTCCAAATTGTGTCTCCACACTTCCTCCAAATTTTATATTCACATTTCCTCCGAATTGAGTCTCCACACTCCCTCAAAACTGTTCTCCACACTTACACCGAAGTTTTTCACACTTCGTCCTAATTGTGTACTCACAGTTACAGTAATGAGACAATGTCATACATTAACACAAATCAGGATAAGATAGTAGACAAAACAGTTAACTAGAGGTAGATTTGTTTATTGTATATTGTAATGTACTACCAGGTCAACTTACAAAACAAGATTCATCTCATTTTTGTCAAGAAAAATAAACAGTATCAGACTCAATATGTACTTGTTTTGTCAACTGTCATTTTCCTTGACTCTCCTTCTAGAATTTCACAAAGTAGGTCACTATCATCACTGATTAATCTTATCAGGACGAAACAGCTGTATGATGCAGCTTGGTATACTGAATTTCCTTTGAAAGGTAATATTCACTTGAAAGTTAATATTCACTTGTGTGACTATACAATTCTTCAGAAACACACAAAGACGAAATACACCGCAGTTTCACCAAGCATAACACAACATCAGACAAGGAGTTCAGAAATCTGTTCCGCTCCTGAAGTGTCCCCATCTGTCTTTATACAAACATTTAGGACATGAAATTCAGAAAACTGGTCCACGTCTGGACTGTCCTCATCTGTCTTTATACAAACATTTAGGACATGAAATTCAGAAAGCTGGTCCACGTCTGGACTGTCCTCATCTGTCTTTATACAAACATTTCGGACATGAAATTAAGAAATTTGGTCCACTCCTGGACAGTACTCATTTGACTTTATACAAATAATCAGGACATGAAATTCAGAAAGCTGGTCCACGTCTGGACTGTCCTCATCTCTTGGTCTGTTCTTCCCTTGCACGGTTCTCATCTGTCTTTCGACAGACATTTCAAGACTGTTTAGCCTGGCTACCTCTGTCTGACGCCTGTTGTAATCGAAACTCTACAACCTATGTCTCCAACAATTTAATGCGAAGGAATTTTTTCCTGTATCCACGCTTTTAGTTCCCGAGTATATTATTTTGCTGGCTTCGTTGTGTTCTTTTGTTGTTTTTTTAACATTCGTTTTTTAAACTCTAGTTTGTAACGATTCGTGTAAAAACTATAGACCAGTATTACAATAACAACTATATTACAAGTGTAGTATGATGTTTTCAGTGTGGTTCCCTACTGCTCCAGTGATTCATGGACAGGCACTTCCAGGAGTTCGGGTATGTGTTATCTTACTTTTTATACGTCATCTTAATCTCTCAGAAGACGAGACGATGGTTTTATTTCAATAATCTTAAGATGTCCGCGTAAAACATGTAGTCAATTTTTATCGGAATGTTTCGGTGTTTTTGTTTCCTTTGTACGTAGTTGTCCTCTTGATAAATAGTTTCTGGAGCCACACGATTTGTATTTTATTATTACATTTACAGAGGGCTACGCATTTCTTGGGTCATACATCGTAGAAGCTGTGATTCGGGAACTGATTCCGAAGGGGCTTCAACGGGCCCGGAAGTTGATGCTCGCGGGGAGCAGGTAATTGTTTATTCATTCGGAGTCTTCTGGAACACTCAATAGCGTTTTACACAGAGACTTTCCAAATGACGTAGAACGATATTTGTGGATTTTACATTCCTGATAATTGTGATGTTTTTATGTCCTCAGTGCTGGTGGAACTGGTGTTCTGACCAATCTTGACCGAGTAGCTGACCTCATGTCCAAGCTAGCCCCGACAGTGGAGGTACGGGGGATTGCCGATTCGGGATGGTTTGTGGACACCCCGCAATACCACGCAAGAGAGTGTACAGAACCGTTCTCGTGTGCTCCCGCCGACGGCGTCAAACGGGGTATCAAGTACGTGACAATCTGTTGCTATTTTTATAATAAAACGATATTCATTTTAATGGGCACGATATCTTTTCATGTGTCGTTATTTCTAATTCACTGAGTATTTTTTTTATCGAAAAGGTACCCTTGATGGGCTTGTTTTTGTTGGTCTTGAAATTACGGTAAACATACAGGTGTATGTTTAAATGACAGTCCTGCTCTTCCTGATCCAAGCTGTCATTGATAGAAAATATCCATATCACCATGCTTTATCGGATATCTAAATAAAAAATGTGTAGATACACTGAAAACTAGAAAACAGAAAGCGTATGTTGGATGTGAGAAAAACAAGAAACCTACTTTTAATCAAAGTGGACAAATTCAGAGATAGTAGATTTAATCTTGTTCACAGGTGTGTTTGGTAGGTGTTCACCTTTGATCGTCGTTACAACACCACGATCAACCATCGACCGTGGCATTTTCAAACGTCACTGTCAAATGAGTTCTGAAAGGACACGACTATTTATCCAAATATTGCCCCCAGTTTGATCTGTGTGACTCTACACACCAAATTTGAGGACAAAGTGAAATATCAATTTTCTGTTTACTAATAATTATTGGTAAGGCCGACTGTTGGTATGGCCGGCGATTAGGGGACAATGCGTTACGGCGATACACAACCACCGCCCGTTTGAAGTATCCCGCATCGCTAAACCGTCAGGTTTTATTTCCCTATAAAATGGCTTTTATATGAGGACCCTTACTCTACCAATAGCCCATCGGACAGGAATATCGTCACTTTGATCTGCTGCTGTTGCCCTAACTTGGTCGTGTAAATAGGTCCACAATTGTCACACATAATATAGACACATCCTCGCATTGCGAGCTTTATCAGGCAGCATATATATAAATATACCTTTAATATCCATTTAAATGGAAATAGCGATGCAAGGGTTATAACCAATAGTTTGATCTCTAATAAGTATAAAAAATATATATATAATGTAATATGTAGTTTAGTAGTTAATATCTCATTCCCGTAACTAACCCTTTCAGAAACAGATTCCGGAAAACCAACTTTTGAAATAGATGTAATTAAAATCAAAATCATATATAAAATATGGATAAGGAGTATTGGCTGACAGAAGGTAGACCGAGTTTGTTTCACTGTGAAGTGTTAAAGACCAACTATAGCAACAGAGAGACCAGCTCCGGGGCGTCAAGCTTACCTGTCACTGTGCCGCGTTCTAGTTTACATAGACAATATCTGGCTTGATCGACACTCTTTAATTTCGTGTAATAAATACGTGATAGTTTTTGTTTTTGATAACAATGCGCTAGAAAAAATAACGAGAAAATACCGCATTGTAGTATAACTGGCCTCTGATTAGAATCTGAATTAGAATGATGAAAGGAATAAAATCCGGAATTACCGTCCGGTGACGAGTTTGAAATTATAGCTTGGTGACATTTAATCGGAAGGTTGACTGCATGAAATTACTCTTTTCAAAGTACTTCTCCTCTGTAATATCTCCGGGGTGATTAGTGAGGAGGATGGAAATAGTGGAACACATTTTGATTCTGACGGAAAATCGTTAGAACTGCCATAGCGCGGTATAAATCTCTAGACAGGGTCTCGTTACAATGTGACCCAGAAGCAGAGAGTAACGTGTAGCAGGCCAGTCTCTCGATTAACCAGCACTGTAAATCGTATTACGTTTTATGAAACAATAAATAACCCGGTGAATTCTCGGGGTTTTTTCTGTTGTTCTTATATGTATTTCCCCGAACGGTTAAAAATGCCAGATTTCTGTATTGTAATTGACGATCCTATTTATTTTCATGGGAATGGTGTTTATGAAAATGGTTATGAAGACCTCTGTTATGATGAACATTATAATAGAATAACTGCTGTATTTGTGTACTTCGGCTTTATATCATTTAATTTCATTTTCAGTTTGTGGAAAGGTCAGGTTCCCGACGCCTGTAAAGCACAATACCCGGAGTCAGAGCACTGGAAATGTTACTTCGGCTATAGGATATATCCAACATTGAAAAGTAGGTCAACCATAATAAATAGGTCAGTCATAAGTAGGTCAATCCCCAACATAAGGATATAATCGACACTGAAACAGAGATACAATATATATCTAAGATTATATAGATTATGTATATATTCAACACTAAATAAGTATGTCAATCACAACAGAAACATATTCCAAACACTGGGAAAATGGTAAAATTCAACATAGCTTTAAGGTAACTTAATCCTTCACCATTCCTAAAATGTAGTTCAATCTTGCACATTACCATCGAAGTAAATTAAGTTTGCGCTACGGGGCTATCAAGCACTGAACATAGGCCAATCTTAGACCAAACATCGAACTTCAAGTCTTCTTCACAAATCTATACATTATTTAAAACTTAACCACAAAAAGGATGCTAGAAGTAATCGACTGTGGGACACTGAGTTTAAGTGAATACCTAACGTTGGAACATAGGTTAGTCTTAACACGTCACAGAAAACTACGGCATTGTTAAAAATTCAAAGGACTGCATGCAAAATTGCGAGTTTTTAAAAGGAAAAATTACTTAGTGTGGTTATTTTGAAATTGTGCCACTTGTATCTGAAAATTAATTGAATAGTTGTCATTCTGCCCTAACTATTATATATCATGAGTGTATTGTGTTATTACAGCTCCGATATTCATCGTTCAGTACTTGTTCGACGAGGCTCAGATTACGGTCAATAATCTCATTGACCAATCACAGCTTGCCATGAATCGGGGCAACACGGTCTTCTCCAGGGGCCAATGGGAGTACCTGCATAATCTCGGGGAACATGTCAAAAGCACTCTACAAAATGTCACGTAAGTCATTGTAGAAAAGATAACATGTTAACATAGCTCTAGGACAGCCAATGACCGTTGTTCTGTTTGAGTCTATTATAACAAAAGTAAATTTCTTCAGCTGTTGTAATATTTTGTATTTTGCTCACAATTGACAAAATAAATACTTATCATTGTCAACACCGTTTGAAACAAATACTTATCATTTATATAAATCATATATAACGTCCGCCGTCTTTCGTATTTACATAGTAATTACCTGTCTCTTTTTGTAACGCTGTATGTTTGTATTACAGGGCTGTATTTGCACCAGCCTGTCTCTCTCACGAGTTACTACAAAAAAGGTAAGTAGATATTCTACAGTTGATAGAGTCACATGACATCATATGTAAAAATATTCTAAATGTATATGGAAATACCCTCTGCTGTATATTTTACACATTACAAAGCGACATACAAAGCCATTCGATGTTACTTATGAAATACTGGCTGCATTATGCCGCTTGGCTGAATAGATCTTCTCTCTAGTAAATCAGGGGTACCGGGTTCGAATCCCAACGGAGGCTTTTTGCATATAAGAGTATATTTGATTGTACTAGAGAAGATAAATTTATGTATTTGTCACATGTGATTGATCATCAATTGTCATCGATCTATATATATATTAGAAGAGTCCTCCGTAATCTCTAATTCAAGATACTCCCTATTGAGCTGGTAATAAAGACAATTGGCATTGTTTTCTTACTTAAATCATATATGGATTGATCCTTTAATTAGAAGAGGGTCTCCATTGATCTCTATATCAAGAGAATCATATCGGATTGAAAAAATACTAATTGATTTCTAAACTGAAAGAATTCGAATGGGTCTTTATATAAGGGAATTCTCATGGATATCTGTCTGAGGAGTTCATTTTTTTTCATGAATTTGTGTGACATTCCTCTGCCCCCGAATAAACAAACCATCCGTTTTTTAGACCCCAGAAGGAAATGCCTTTCTCTCATTTAAACAAGAATAATAAAAAAGTACATGTAAAATTGTTCAATTAGGACATTTAATATTTTTGGAATGTAAGGGGAAACACAGTACATAGTAAATTGCCTTGAAACAATGTACACTTTACAGATCGTGAAGTTATTTAATTAAAGGCTCCAAAACAGGTATTGGCAATAGACTAGAAGGTTTAATTAACATGCCGGAGTACATGTGGAGGCTGCATTCGTATGTGTTCTCTTGGTGATTTGTTCATTTCGTAATGTAAATAAAATGTTAGAAGATGAATGGAAAGTGCCTGGTAATCAGTGTGGAGGTGTGAGTTTATATCTATATCAAAGATGAATTCAGAATTTTTGTTATTGTTTTATTTGGCTGTCGATAGAGAGGCGTGACTCATGTATAGGATAATATGCAAATAATTGAAGAAGAATTAAGATCTGTTTTGCTGTTGCAGTACCTGGCAGTCAGTATCAGTAGAAGGAGTTAATCTCGCCCAGTCCATTTACTGCTGGGAGAACAGCTTCGACGGTGAGAAATGTCTCTCCGCTACCAGAAACAACAGGTAGCTATCCCATTACTCAGGACGAGAAGGATCTCTCCACTGGCAATCACTGACAAAATAACACCGACACCAATAACTCACAGACAAATAACACTGACACCTATAACTCACAGACAAATAACACCGACACCTATAACTCACAGACAAACAACACCGACACCAATAACTCACAGACAAATAACACCGACACCAATAACTCACTGACAAATAACACCGATACAAATCCACCAATAACTCACTGACAAATAACACCGACACCAATAACTCATTGACAAATAACACCGACATCAATAACTCATAGACAAATAACACTGACACCAATAACTCACAGACAAATAACACCGACATCAATAACTCACAGACAAATATCACCGACACCAATAACTCACAGACAAATATCACTGACACCTATAACTCACTGACAAATAACACCGACACCAATAACTCACAGACAAATAACACCGACATCAATAACTCACAGACAAATATCACCGACACCAATAACTCACAGACAAATAACACCGACACCAATAACTCACAGACAAATAACACCGACACCAATAACTCACAGACAAATAACACCGATACAAATCCACCAATAACTCACTGACAAATAACACCAACACCAATAACTCACAGACAAATAACACCGACACCAATAACTCACAGACAAATAACACCGACACCAATAACTCACAGACAAATAACACCGATACAAATCCACCAATAACTCACTGACAAATAACACCAACACCAATAACTCACAGACAAACAACACCGACACCAATAACTCAGACAGATAACACCGACACCAATAACTCACAGACAAATAACACCGACACCAATAACTCACAGACAAATAACACCGACACCAATAACTCACAGACAAATAACACCGACACCTATAACTCACAGACAAATAACACCGACACCAATAACTCACTGACAAATAACACCGACACCAATAACTCACAGACAAATAACACCGACACCAATAACTCACAGACAAATAACACCGACACCAATAACTCACAGACAAATAACACCGACACCTATAACTCACACCGACACCAATAACTCACAGACAAATAACACCGACACCAATAACTCACAGACAAATAACACCGACACCAATAACTCACAGACAAATAACACCGACACCAATAACTCACTGACAAATAACACCGACACCAATAACTCACAGACAAATAACACCGATACAAATCCACCAATAACTCACTGACAAATAACACCGACACCAATAACTCACAGACAAATAACACCGACACCAATAACTCACAGACAAATAACACCGATACAAATCCACCAATTACTCACAGACAAATAACACCGACACCAATAACTCACAGACAAATAACACCGACACCAATAACTCACAGACAAATAACACCGACACCAATAACTCACTGACAAATAACACCGACACCAATAACTCACAGACAAATAACACCGACACCAATAACTCACAGACAAATAACACCGACACCAATAACTCACAGACAAATAACACCGACACCAATAACTCACAGACAAATAACACCGATACAAATCCACCAATAAACTGACAAATAACACCGACACCAATAACACCAACACCAATAACACCGACACCAATAACTCACAGACAAATAACACCCACACCAATAACTCAGACAAATAACACCGACACCACCGACACCAATAACTCACAGACAAATAACACCGACACCAATAACTCACTGACAAATAACACCGACACCAATAACTCACAGACAAATAACACCGACATCAATAACTCACAGACAAATATCACCGACACCAATAACTCACAGATAAATATCACTGACACCTATAACTCACTGACAAATATCACCGACACCAATAACTCACTGACAAATAACACCGACACCAATAACTCACAGACAAACAACACCGACACCAATAACTCAGACAGATAACACCGACACGATAACTACAAGCAGATAACACCGACACCAATAACTCACTGACAAATAACACCGACACCAATAACTCACAGACAAACAACACCGATACAAATCCACCAATAACTCACAGACAAATAACACCGACACCAATAACTCACTGACAAATAACACCGACACCAATAACTCACAGACAAATAACACCGACACCAATAACTCACAGACAAATAACACCGACACCAATAACTCACAGACAAATAACACTGACACCTATAACTCACAGACAAACAACACCGACACCAATAACTCACAGACAAATAACACCGATACAAATCCACCTATAATTCACAGAAAAATAACACCGACACCAATAACTCACAGACAAATAACACCGACACGAATATCTCACCGACAAATAACACCGACACCAATAACTCACCGACAAATAACACCGATACAAATCTACCAATAACTCACAGACAAATAACACCGATACAAATCCACAAATAACACTTGAGCAAATCTTCCAATTATTTAATACAAAATTAATGTCATAGTATTTCACAATAGTCTCCTTATTCACTTCGTCAGTGTGATATATCAGTTATGTGTTATTTTGACAACTCCTCTATTTACCAAACAATAGCTTGACAAACATTTACTTTGAGATGGCTAGGTTAAGTGTGTGACCATTGTGACTACACACCATCGTAAGCGTTTTACCTACCAGTAAAATGAATAATTGTTCTTCCACTTCAGAATACGCCAGCGTGCACTGACTGACCCGCTCCTTAAGGACGAACCAGCAGCCACAAACAGTGTGACAAAAGAGGAAGCAACGACGACGTGAAAAGAAACGACGTAATCGTAAAAGAAAGAACATGTGTGTCAACTTACAGCTGTACAGTTGGCCACATGTAACTGTATGTTATGCATGTGTGTACAACTGTACAGCTGTAAAGAGGCCTCACAACTGTACTGTTATGTTACATGTATGTACAACTGTACAGCTGTAAAGTGGCCTCACATCTGTACTGTTATGTTACATGTATGTACAACTGTACAGCTGTAAATTGGCCTCACGTCTGTACTGTTATGTTACATGTATGTACAACTGTACAGCTGTAAATTGGCCTCACGTCTGTACTGTTATGTTACATGTATGTACAACTGTACTCTTATGTTACATGTATGTACAACTGTACAGCTGTAAAGTGGCCTCACATCTGTACTGTTATGTTACATGTGTGTACAACTGTACAGCTGTAAAGTGGCCTCACATCTGTACTCTTATGTTACATGTATGTACAACTGTACAGCTGTAAAGTGGCCTCACATCTGTACTGTTATGTTACATGTATGTACAACTGTACTC